TTAAGATTGAAGAGTGTAATTTCTGCCTCTACACTTGTGTTTTACAGATGGTGTGCTTTATCTTAAGACTTATCTTATTGTTCTGTAAAAGGGACCTATAGTGCCCCATGGGGGGCAAGGTTGTGTACAAACCCAATACATAATCAGTTTGATATCAGTGATAAAACAATGTAATTACTTCTTCTATTTATGTAGGTCTTTCTTTATTTACTATTTCCTGTGTGACTGTTGTGAACAGGGTCATAAACGTCGCACTCCATTTCCTGACTATATCTGGGATGATACTAATTCTGCCTACAAAAAAGTAATTAAAATGATCCACTTAAGATTTTATCTCATGAAGCACATTTTTACAGTAGTTCACATTTGGTTGTTTTTGCAGGATAATGACTCTAAATCATTCACAGAGTCAGAAATGGATCTGGCTGGTCTGTTCGCAGCTAAAATGTTATTGGTGCTGTGTTGGGAGTCTCCACATTCCCTCTTCTGGTATTTCTGGATCCCCGCCTGTCTTGAAATTATTTATGGAGCACTTGACTGCCAGGAGCCACAGTGCCAGTGGGAGGGCGATGTAGGTTGAGAGTGCTGCTGCTGATGCAGTAAAAGCCTTGCTGCATGGGGCTTCCATTGTAGCTGTCTGACCATTCTTTAAGGCAGAAATCTGGAGGGGAGCAGTGCTGAGGGGAATGAGTGAGAGTGGTTAGTTCAAGGTGTGGAATATTTTCTTTCTTTTTTTGCATTACATTTAACTGCATTTGCAAAAATAAAGCTAGGTTTTTTAAAATTGATTTCATAGTTTTTTTCTGTCTCTCTTACCTTTACTCCTTTTTTGCATTAATGGCATACTTGTGTTTTCTAAAAAAAAAACATTATATAACTAATTCTTATCACTAACAAGGATGGATGAGCAGAAGCAACAGAAATAACGAAAGCTGGGACATTGTGATTAGAATATGAAAATTATTGATGTATACCTTAAATTTTTAAACGTAAGGTTTATGATTTCTGATAAGCAGACTAGAAAGGAATGAAGCAGATCTCACAGATGGCACCCCAGGCACAAATGAATTCAGAGTCAAGGGAAAAAGGGCTGTCAAACTGCAGAAACAGTGGAATAATGTCAAAATGTGTAATGTGTAACAACAAAATTGAGTCATTATAAAACGGATTCAAAGAGTGAGTATAATGTAGTAAAGATGTACCTCAAAAATGTATTAGTACCACCAAGAGAGGGGGAAAAATACTGAAACACAAGCAGAAAATAATGCATAACTTTGTTTTACTACCAAAGCTTAAATTTATTACGCTATTACAGGGGATTCGTGATAGAATATTAAAAAATAATAATACTTCCTTACACTTATATAGCACATACAGTATACACACTCCACTCAAATTGCTTTACAGGTAATGGGGACTCCCTTCTATGGTAAGATCGCGTGTTTATGACTGTACAACAAAATGAAAAAAAAACCCTATACAGCCCACTTGTTTCCTGAATGGGAGCTCTCGGTAGCTTCCCTAGGAATTGTTTCAATGGATTCTGAAGCTACACATTTGAGAGGGCTAGGTCTAAGAACCTCTATGTTAATCCATTCTAGAAGTCTTGGACATATAGTATGAGAGACTCAGCAGTCAGGTGTTTAGTCACTATGGCATATTCCACTTCTAGAAAAATCCAGTAAGTAAAATAACAAACTCATATGTCTGTAAATTTTAGAATAACTCGGAATAGCTCATACTTTCTTGTCCCTAGAGAATTATTCATTTTAAAATACATGATTAAGACAAAAATAAGAAAAAAGACCAATAGAATAACAAGCCTTTTATACTGTATAAGAATCTAGGTAGAGCTCATACAAATATCTTTATTCATGTCATGCAAGCAAAAGGATAAAAGGAAAACATGGAGCAGTAAAAAACAAGAATATTTTAATTTTAAAAACATTTCAGTCTATTCACATTCATGTTTTCAGTGAAATGACTTATGCTATGTTATAGCACAATACTGAATGGGCAGCGCTATTAATGACTGTTAAAATCCATTTCCTACTCGGTGCATTTTCAGTGAAAAAACTTGGGTTTTGCCAAGAGAAACCCCAGCCAGTTCTTTCCATTGGCACTAACGTCAATCTAAAATTGAGAAACCCATTGGGACAGCATGGGAATGAAAGAGGAAGTAGTGGGGGGTTCTGAAAAATACACCAGTGTTTCTACAGCTGTTTAAATTGCTGTAATGCCTGTTCACATCTTGATAAGCTTGTTAACTCGCAAGTAACTGGTCCACCACATTTACACAGTTTCAAAATATCAATCCATTTGGTGCTTAAGTAAATTCCAGTGACTGACACTCAAAAATGAGCCAAGACAACACACATAATTTGGCCTCCAAAGAGAATATGTCTATAGTAATTGAAAGTACATTTTTAGGCTTCGCCTAAAAGTGTAATGGAAGCCTAGGATGGCTAAGAGAGATTTATCTTTTTATCACATTTGACAAGGCGGCAGAATACAATGTTACTGAAGAACACTACAAAAATAGAGAAATATATGGGAAACCCATCAAAGCAACATGTAACCAGCATATTAATTCAACTGTTATAAAAGATACCAAATCTTTTAACAACCTACATTTTAGCTAATCTGCAATGTGGATCACATAATGAACAGACATGGCAACACTTTTCCACCAGAGAGCCATTTCACAGTATGGAGAAGTAGCTTTTTATGCTCATTTCCCATTCTGTTACACAGGAAAGAAACCAAACATGAATACAGTGGTTGATAACTTTGACAGCCTGATTTAATACAACTTTAAGATTAGCAAGCATTTTCTTGGCTGTGAAAGAGTGGTGATTTATATTGCAGTATGTGAATTTGGCATAGGGAGTGACTTGTTTTACTTTTGCAAGAACACCTCCAGATTTACCAGTCATGGCCTGAGCCTTGTGTCAGTGCAATTTTGCCACCATAGTCCATTGTTAACAATGAAGCTGTCAAGTTTTAGAAATGTGTCTTCTCCTGCAGCATGGGTTGCCAAAGTCTCACAAAAAAAAAACTTCCTTTCATCATATCTGCTTCAAACAGCACGTATGTAAGTAATTGGAAAAAAAATCCTCTTTACAGTTTCAATTTGCTGTTCTTTGACTTAAAAAGACGTATTTCATTTACCTTAATACTTAATAAAGGAATAACACCCAAATGTTTGACAGCTTTGTCTCCAAGAATGGACAATATGATGTCTTTTGCAGCAGCCAGGACAAGAGTCTCACTTATTGTATGCACACTTCCAGTCTGAGCAATGCCCAATCTTTACAGGATGCTTCTAACTCTTTTGCATTTGAATTACTTAAACTGGTTATTGATTTCTTTTAGAGAGCTCAGCTGTCTTGGAAGAAATTAACAGGTTTATCGTTGAAAAAGATTTTATCTTTAAAGAAGGTAACGCCGAACAACTGAAGGTTTCATGCAGTGACATGATTGTACAAATGTGCGTTTTGGCAGCACTACTCCTGATAGTTGACATCGGATCAGTATAATTAACATCATATTCCCCAGAAATCCCCTTTTGTATTGGTTTTCAATGTTAGTTACATTCTCCTCTGCAAATCTTTCTCTTTTGTGATGAAAACACACACTGCAAACATGGAATCCCTAAAACTGTTTTGGAGAAATCTATTCTATGGTGGAGTTACATTACCGTAAATTAAAATGGCCCCACATTTATAATTACTATACTGACTAATTTGTTCCAGTCACACAAGAGGGTATTATAAAACAACTATTTTATTGTGTTAAAAATATCTTGGGGGAAGGTAACCATAAAAATATGTAATGGGAAGACTTATGTATTTATAATGTAACCACACAGAAGCATGGTCTAAACACATTCTTTGATTAAAAGTAATTAGTTCATGTGTGCCATTGGTGGCAGACATACCCACATCTAAGGAACCAGTGCTATGACTTATCCAGTTGCATTAAAAGTCAATTCCAAAAAGTTGTTTTTATTCCTTCTCTTTTTGATTTAACTCATTTTTAAAGGGTACATTCTCAAAAAAGTGTTTGCCTAATGAAACAAGTGTATTGTCACAATTATACAGTCTCTCCCTTTCAGTTATAGAGTAGTCTAACCTTATTATCACAATAGTACTAGTACTATTAGTAAGCACTAGTAGTAAGCACAGTATCACTTTATTAAGTTCAATTTCAAATGTACAATTACAGATTAAAAGCAGAAGTAGGCATGTCCTTTGTGTACAAATCTAAATTTTAATGTTCTTGTTTAAAAGGCTAACAGGCTAGCCTACTAAGAATCTAAATCTGTGCACATTTTATTTACAAAATATTTTGATAATCTGGAAAAAATTAAATTACTCTCCTACTCCAAAGCCAACAAAAACAATACTTACACTAACAATTCAACATGGGTCAAGAGGCAGTTCTGCTTCTACAGTGATACCCAGCAACACTGTTTATAAAAATATGTATTAATCCACTTAATCCAATTCAGGGCAATGGGGCAGCAGGAGCTTAATCCCGCAAGCAATGTACACAAGGCGATACACCCTTAACAGGACACAAGTCCATCACAGGCCACACTCAGACACACACCATGCGTGTGTCAACTGGGTCAATTTTCCCAGAACCCAATAATCCAACTAATATGCCTTTTGACTGTGGGAGGAAACCAGACTACCTGGTGGTTGCCCAAGCATATACTGTATGGAGAACATATAAACTCAACTCTGAAAGCACCCTACTTCCGGAATTGAACTCAAGGCCTCAGCGCTGCAAGGCAGCAATGCTAACCAGTGTGCCACTGTGCCACCCTGAATTAGATGAAGCAGTTAGAAAATAGGTGTAATTCATTCAGTTTCAAAATTTGAATTTTCTCTGTAACAAAAATTATTCTGAATACCTCCTCAGATTAAACAACAAATGAAGCTGGAAGGAAAAAGAAAAGAAAATCAAAGTCAGATGTGAAAGTCATACAGCACCTCAGCTCTCTTCAGCATCTCCCACTTGTTGAGAATCTTCATGGCAAACACCTTGTCAGCATTCTTCACCTTCACCACAGCAACCTAAAGCAAAGAGTCAATCATTAAAAGCAGAATTCAAAAATCAAGTACAGACTACAGATGCTGTTTAATAGTGATTTCTTGTGAAATTCCTGACACATGATCAATCCTGTATATCTCCATACATAGAAACTTGTTTTATTTAAAGTAGTAATTCACTTTTTAGTTTTAATTGCAGTATTCAAATCAAAGAATGTCAATTCCATTATATCAAGAATATTAATAAACGATTATTGACTATTTGCATGATAAAACAATAGACACTGAATCAGCCAATGGAACTGCATTAGCCTATGGCTTCATACATGTCAAATACCTACTATAAATCACTTAGAAGGAGTATGACGGTTATGACAGGAATTAGCTCTCAAAGACAATTTTTTACTGAAACAGCGTTTCCTTGTCTACTGGCATAAAACATTTCTGCAGCATCTATAATCACTCTATTCCTTTTTGACAACAAAATTTAAAAGGCATAACATTTTGGAAGAAGAATACAAAATACCAAGCTAAATAGTGCCGGTCTTATGCTAAAGAGGCTTTAGAACAAGGGAGCATTTTGAATACAAGCAGGTGAGGTTATACTGCAAAACATGTATACAATTAACAAAAAAAACCTTTCAAAATTGTAGATGTTTTTGACTGCATGGGATTACTTTGAATTCATGTTTATGTTAATATATAGGAACACCCTTCATAAAAACATTTGCTCTGCCAAATTATTTTCAAAAATAATTAACTGCCCTGGAACCCATTGAGAGTTGTCCAGCAGAAATAAAGATACCTTTAAGAACACTGAGTGATCTGCAATGGAAGAGTTTAATTGTTTCAGGAAGAAAGAGTACATAAATAAAACATCTCTTTGATTAAATAGGTTTGGATGTGCCAAATAGATACCGCATATCAAAATGGCTACATTGTATGGTAGATATATTTCTGAAGCAGTTTGTAGAAAGTTCTTAAGGCTTTAGAAAGGACATGGCCTGGTCCTGAATCTTAATCCAGTGCATTTATTTTGAAATTGGAAGTGATTTAGCACAGGTTTAACAATGATGACCAATGGGATCTTGTGATGAATACCCTTCATTCTGAAAACTACAAAGATCTAAGCCATTCCAGAAATCCAGTTCTTCCTTAATATTAATATTAATTAGCCACTTGTAAACTAACAATACTACATTTCCATCTCCTGTATTCAAGCTAATGAATAGTCACATCCAAAATAAACTGCACCTACTGCTCTTGACTCCCCATCCTAATCTTGATGTATCTTCTAATACATATACACATTGAGCTGGGGTCTTCCTGATTGAGCAGGTTGAAAAAACATTTATAAGCCACAACGATCTAGACACGAATAAAAATATGCTATAAAATGATATATTTGTTTTTAGCAGTGTGTCTCTATAGTTATGCAAACCTTTTAGTTTTATACAACTGCTGTAGATTTGAAAGCCTGATATTTCAGAACAGCAAAATCAATAAAGATATAGTCATTAATGGTTTAATGTTCTACTGACTCTGTACAATACAAAGGCCGAATTCCTTTAATATGGACGTACCATATGAATACTTTTCTAATAACATGTAAGTACATATAAGCAATATACTTGTAAAGTTTGACTGATGTCCCTTTAATAGTAATATAACAAATCCATGATGCATATGAAGAAAAGGTTAACTTTCAGAATTTCATTTTTTGAACTTTTAAAGTATTGGTCTATTGCATAGACAAACTTCAAAGTAGTCGATTCGTACAACAGGTAGCTCAATGGAGAAGTATGATACCGTCTTCTGAAACAAATACATTAAAAACAAAGGAGGAGCATGTTAACAGTATGTGTGCTGCAAGACCAAATGAGGAACCTAAAATGTAATTAACAGCATAGGTAATGGTACAGAAAGTATTTTTTACTGAACAGAGAGCTTTTGGGGCATTAGGATTCTAACCTAATATTTGCAGCCGGGACCATGATAATGAAGAAATGGTCTTCTTTCTCTCTGCAAAATTGGTTTCTCATTCAAACATTTCTAGAAAAAAGTGGGAGATATATTGACTGATTTACAGACGATAAACACATCTCTGATAGAGCCGTTAGAAAATGTCTATGGATTCCAGCAATTTGACCATGTAGTATTTATCTGTAGTAATATTTGTCTGTAAACTACAAGTCAGTATGCAGTGTTTCAGAGGGGAAAAAAGTGTTTTTTTCATATTTATAAATTGTCAAAAAGCTTCTGAATGCGAATATTTACAAAGAATATTTACTTAAACGAAAAGGCTGATCGTAATTGTGCCAGAATATTTATTGAAAATGTAAAAACAGATACTAAATACTCAACATTTTCAAAAACAAGGCAATACAAAATACAACAACAGACAAATCAAAATAAGCTCAGCTTTTCTCAAGCTGTCATCATACAGTGAGCTGCAGTTTAGGCAAACAGTGCTTATCTTATCGGTCTGAAACATTAAACTATAGACTTCAGTACTCATTACTTTCCAAATTGTGATTACTTTCAGCAGTGTTAAGAGGTTGTACTATGTTTTGCTGGCACAGGACTATAGAAAGCAGAACACTAATAAAAGTTTAAAACAATATTTTTACTGTGCAGTACAACCCTTGGGCCTCATCTTCCATATTCCTCCATTTACAGAAACCTCAGCTTCTGACATTTCGTCTCAGGAAGTTCTTTCAGCCTTTCAGAGCTTGCCAGCTCTGAACTAAGGAGAAAACAATCCATCTGGAAAGGTTCAGAACACAGATCAAGGACAAAATCTTCTTTAGAACCTGACTTGCAAACATAAGATGGTTCTTAAACAAGAGGAGGTATTTGGCACATTCTAGCTCGTTTGGTAGCAGATAGCAAATTGATCCAAGGATCTCATCCAGACATTGCCTGAAAGAATCCAGGGTATAATTTTCAACAAAATGGTTGCGTAGCTGGTTTCAGACATCCACAACTTCATGTATGGAAAATTGCAGCCTGTTCTCAGTTTTGAATGTACTTCCCCATAATTTCTACATGTGACCTCTTGTTTGTGTTTCACTGTGTATTCTGAAAACTCTGCCAATGCCTTTGTATATCTAAATAAATCAGTTCCCCTCTTAATCTGCTTTTTGGGCTCAAAAACCTTTGTAATACAATCAAGATTTTTCATTGAGATTCCAATTCACTACCAATAATGAAAACATAATGTATCAATATTGTACAAGCATACACAATACTAAGAACACAAAATGTGTAGGCTTCAATATGAAAACTGTGGTTTACTGAACTGATTCTGAAGAAGGCAGAATATGTTTATACAGTATATAAATGCAATTTAATGTGTGCATTAAAGTATTCTATATGAACCATAAAACTGTTTGAAAAACAAGGAAAAAATAACTCCTCTTACTGTGATTATAACCCTCTCAAAGCCTAGTGCTTGTTTGGTAGAGATGTATTGCATAATGATAAATACTTTAAATCCCTGAAGGTGATGGGGGTAAAAAAAATGGAAACTGAGCTTGTGCAAGTGTTTACACTGTTACAAATTGGAGATTTTAAAAAATAAGAGAATTATTGAAATTATATAAATATACCGATAATATATCATCAATAATTAAAATACTTATAACCCCCCCCCATTGGAAAGATTATGCCAACAATATACCCAAGTACTTAGTTTAATCAGAGGCACTTGCAATCTTTATTCTCTGGCACAGATTTGGTGAAGGAGCAATAAATTAGAGGCAAACTGGTTTGAAAAATTATTTATTAATAAATATTCAACATATAACATGCAATTTACTCAATTTACAAACAAGGCATTTCAGAGGCCGACATCCTGACCAAAGAGAAGAAAAACCCAGACTACTACCAAGTATTCAAGCCCTATATACAGTTACACCTAACAGGTCAAAAAGAGAATAGACAAACATGCTTTTTAAACCAAACAGAATGTGACCTAGAGTTAAATCTCTATAAATCTGGAAGCTGCACTGTAAACAGGAACCATGAATTTCCCAACTCTAAAAAAAGTATTCACTGAACAGGGTAGACTGTTTCTAACCTAGTGTATATTTATAAAGAAAATCTGACTTCCTAAAATATCAAAATGGCAAGCTCTCTTAACAGAGTTCAAATACTTAACTTGAATCTGGTCTTAAAGGCTGATCAGATAAAGGACCTCCTGACTGGCACTGTCTCTCTTCTCTCTTTGGGACTTCCTCTCCTTCTCTGCCACCTTCTCTACCTGTCTTTTTATCCTGTTTTCCTGGTCTATTGGAGTTTTAATGATTTACCAAGAACTTAATTAACCAGCTAAACCAGATGATTTCTTTGACCAATGTGTCTCAGACCACTTACATCTCAGCAAACTCCTCAGATCCTTTCTTACTTTAAAGTTCCCAAGAACTGCAAAATTTGGTACTAGTTAGATGTTGACCATTGTCTGTACATTCTTAGAAACTGTAACTCAATAGCTCCTTCCAATAGCTGTAACAATATTTGTTTTCTTTTTTCACTAGGTGGATAACTAATAAATATCAACATCAACTGAGCATAAATTGGAGGGGAAGCCTTCCCACGGTATTGGTAATGGATCACACTTTTAAGGCCTGTTAATGAAAGCCACTAAATTGGTCAAAGTAATCTTATATAGGATTAAATATAGCCGATGCTCTGTGAATCCTTAACACCAATGCATAAGTAGATGAGATCCTCCATCTAGTCTGGGCTTCTCCAGAATGTTCTTCCTTGCAGTCATCAAATGGCTGCACAATACTTGGACCTTTGTGACAGAGACTGTTTACAGTTGTTTCCAACATTAATAAATAGACTGATCACTTTTTCATTTTTTTTCCAGCTGGTTATACTGCATCAATGCAAAGGCCTAAAATACACATCTGACTGGTTCAGAGTTTGTTCATTGTTTGACCAGTGGGAAATAATCTTAGGAGTTTTTCTCTAACTCCTGAGCTATAAATTATGCCAACGTTTAGTTTAGTTGTCAT